GTAAATGTTTATGAAAATTAATAAAATATAATTATTAAAAAAAACAGCTAAATTATCACACAAACTGACTCAAGCAGACATCATAATATGAAATATTTGCAGATGAAATGTGATATATGGAATTGGTTAGTGACAGGAATACAGATAAATAACACAAAATTAGCTATATGTTTGTTAACTGTAAAGTTGAATGGTAAGTACTGAGGGGTTATACTTTCCTCTCTACTTCTGAATATGTCTGAAGTTTCTGTAAGAAAACTGGAGTCAACAATATAAACACTTGAAGACAGAATGCAAGAAGATATTTATAAATGGAAAAAGTTTAACAAAGTGCTAATACCACAAAAAGCGCCATGAAAATGGATTCTTTAAAAGATAATAAAAAAGAGAATCAACAAAGAATATAAAAATTATTACAGAAAAAATAAAAAGCCTAAGAAACCTATTAAAAGTTAATCAGTATACACTAGATGACTTAGAAATGAACAAATTCCTAGACATAGAGACTCAAAAAGAAATAGAAGATCTCAACAGACACATTAGAAAAGACTGAACCAGTTACCAAATCTCGTAACAAAGGACAATCCTGGACCAGAAGGCTAAACTGAGGAATTCTACCAATCCTTCCTAAACTCTTTAATAGCACACACACACACAGTCGCACATGGAACCCCTCGTAACTTATTCTATGAGGTTTACATTACCTTGAAATCAAAGCGACACAAAGACACAAGAATAGAAAATTATAGACTGACATTTCAATGAACACAGATGGAAAACTTATCAAAAAGTATTATCAGAAATCAAAACCAAAAAAAAGCTTTTCATATGAGATGCACCCCAAGCATGGAAACGTGGCTCAACACTAGAATACCAAATCAATCAATATAATACCTGAATTCACTGCTACTGCTCTGTCCAATGGGTTTGTTATGAATTAGAATCAACTTAATAGCAGAGAATTTAGGTATTAACATGTCTAAAAGAGAAACAGGAGCCTGTTCACTAAAGTATTGTTTTGAAAAACTGGGGAACATCCATACAATGGAAAATGTTTACCAGTATTCCTAAGATTATTAATCATGAATATATTAACTATAACGAGGCACAAGGAAATCTCTATATGTAGGCACTGAAAACTGCTATGACTACACAGTGACTGCAATATAAAACAATATGCATCATGACTTCCCATTTAATTTTTTTTAAAAACGTCTATATTTAAACCTGCAGAGGCACTTAAAATATTCTGATAGATAGGAAGCTTGTCAATATTTATCTCCAAGGAAGGAGAAAAGATTTAAGAAGTGAGACTTTTTATTCTACATATTTCTGTACTTGCATAATAATAGGCTTGTATCACTTCTGACACCAATAAACATATATATTTATAAGTAACTAATCTAAAATAAAAATAGTGTTGCCATCAAATCTGTATGGATTGTTGCCTAAATCTCAAGTAGCAAGCATAGATTCTGGTTCATAGTAGATGTCTGATAATTAGCTACTGAATTAATTAGCTGTAGTGGAGGGTATTTGGGGCGGTGGGAGGGGTG